CCCAGCCCCCTCCCCCACCGAACGGGCTGTCATCCTGCCTCTGCGCCGTACCCCCGGGCACCCCATGCCCAGCCTTCCCCTTTCAGTTCCACTTCCGGAGTGGCGACCTCTCCAGGGAGTGAGGGTGCCGCTGCTGGACTCGCGCGCCTGTGACCGCCTCTACCACGTGGGCAGCGACGTGCCCCGCGGAGAGCGCATCGTGCTGCCAGGGAACGTGTGTGCGGGCTACGTGGAGGGCCGCAGGGACGCCTGCCAGGTGTGCCCCTCGACCTCCGCAGAACCAGGGCCCGGCACCCCTGCCTGGACTGGGACTGTGTGTGGTCTCAAGTCCAGAGAGAGCTGGGGAACCTAAGAGCCCCCTTTGTTTGCAGGGTGACTCTGGGGGACCCCTGACCTGCTTGCAGTCTGGGCGCTGGGTCCTGGTGGGCGTGGTAAGCTGGGGCAAAGGCTGTGCCCTGCCCAACCGCCCAGGGGTCTACACCAATGTGGCCACTTACAGCCCCTGGATTCAGGCTCGCCTCCGCCTCTGATGCCCTAACTGACCTTCAACCCCCGGCCCTTCAGCAGACCTGGGCGCTCCTCACCTGCCCCTCTGGCTTGTGACTGAGAGGCCTAAGACATGCCTGCCCATCCTGCCTCTTCTTCTGGGCCTCCCCAAGTTTGAACCTGCTAACCCATCCCCCACACCCACCCTCCCAGGGGCTCACACTCCCTCCCTTCCCCTTCATGCTGGCCTGGCCTCCTCACTCACTCGGGGCTGTAGCTGCCACTGGGCACCCAGAGATGGGCACGCCAGCTGGTGCCCCGTGTGCCCTATGTACCTGTCCCCCGCCCCCACCCCGAGGACATTAGGAATAGCTGAGGGTGGAGGTGATTCCACTCCAAGGACATTCTCTGTTGCTGGCTTTGAAAGTGGAGGGGGCCCCTGGCAAGGAATTGGGAGTGCCATCAGGGTCCCTGGTGGCCAGCCAGCAGGGAAACGAAGACGTCGATCCTAGAATCCCCTACAATCACTGGAATGAGTTCAGCCAACAATCTGAATGAATTTGGAGGTGAAAGCTTCCCTGGAGGCCAGCCTAGTCCACTCGCTCCACCCTGATTTCTCCACCTGATGAGACCATGCGCAGGGACCCTGGTGGACTACATACTCTTGTGATTTAATAAACTGGTGGTGTTTAAGCTGCTGGGTTTGTGATAAGCTCTTACAGCTGCAGAGGAACACGAATGTAGACTTGGCCCTGCTGTGACGCTGCAAGTGCCTGTGGGGTAGGGAGGCAGCTAGCACCCCACACACACCTGGGTTCTCCCAGCCTGTCCATTCCTCCTGCATCTGACAACACACCCTCTGCTGGTGAGAGGGAGTGCTCCAGGCAAGCCTGGCTGGATCTCCTGGGACCTTGTATTTATTATTGCTGTTGGCTGCCACGGAGACGGCTGGCTTCAATCCCCAGCGACCCTGTGCACAACTGAACGAAACACTGCACAGCCCTGTGCCATTCACAATTGTTCCTAAGCCTGAGCTCACGGATGCAGCCACTCCATCTGGTGGAGGGACTTCCCCTCCTTCTCTGCCCCTCCACTTTAGCCAGCATGATGTCCTTCTCCAGGGACTGGTCTCTCCTGACAACATCTCTAAAGTTTGTAAGAGGAAGTCTTGCCATCCTTGCCTGTAAGGAGCTCTCTGCCCCTACTTCTTCCACTACAGATCAGTTTGTCCTTTTAGCAGTCTGCGAACTTTCCACATTCTTCTCCAGCAACACAGTTCAAATGCATGATTCTTCGGTCTTCCTTCGTCAGTGTCCATCTTCCACATGCATGTGATGCAATGGAGCATGCCATGGCTTGGGTCAGGCGCACCTTACTCTCAGAGAAACGTCCTTGCTCTTCAATACTCTAAAAGAGCCCTTGTGTTGCAGATTTGCCTCTTTTGATACATCTTTCGATCTCCTGATTGCTACTTCCGCGAGCATGGATTGTGGATCCAAGTCAGACACAATCCTTGACACCGTCAACCTTGCTCAGCTGCTACCTCCTGAAATGGCGGCATGTCAACTCGTTCTTTGTGGTGCAGTGCCTTTGTGTACTCTTTCCATCTTCTCTTGATGCTTCCAGCACGATTCAATATTTTGCCCATAGACTATTTCAAGATTGCAACTTGAGATTTGAATTTTTTTTCTTTTGTTTTATTAGGGGCTCTTATAGCTCTTATCACAATTCATATATATATCCATTATGTCAAATATTTCTGTACATATGTTGTCATCTTTTTCAAATCATTTTCTTCCTACGTGAGCTCTTGGTATCAGCTCATTTTGCCCCTCCCTTTCCCATCCTCCCTCCCCCATGTCCCCTTCATAATTCACAAATCTTTTTTCCCCCCCTGTCTTACACCAACC